ATATGAACAGTGAAGACTTCTCCCCAGCTAGAAATTTATGACTAAAATGTTACAGAACATAGTAAGAGTATACATTCCAATAACCTCAAAGAGAAATTTATTTTAATTTCACTGCTTTTGGGAAATGCATGCATTCTTTGAATGGAAAGAAAATTGCTAGACTGCAAATTACTACAAATAACAGACTGCAAATTATTCTCCTTTTAAGAGGGAGGAGAGAGGGCTTCCTGAAAAAGAAAACAAACAAAAAAAAGAAGGATCTGACCTGGTAAAGTCTCCTCGAAAAAATGTAAAAATGCTAATCTGATAGTCTGGATCAGAATGTTTCCTACGTCAAAAAAAAGAGAGAAACAAACAAACAAACAAAAAAGACCTAAGTAGCTGTATTGCAAGTCCTGGACTCCTTACAGCTTTGTCTGTATCTCACAATTATTATCACTGAAATTATTAGTAAAACTGGGTGTAATCTCTGACGATACATGTGAGTCTCACTTGACGGTCCAATCCATTGTGTTACTCTTTTGAGAAACTGATGAGTTTTGCCCACATGGATAATGGGAAATATGAAGACAATTATATGTGTGGAATCAAACACCCCCTGCCACTCACCTTCACTTGAAGCAGAAGTTGCCGTGGCCGCTCTCCTATCCCTGGGAACGTTTGCTGTGCTTTGGAGGGCGTCATCTCTGTGTGTGGGCCCTCCCTTCCCCTCTAGATCTGCGAAAGCTTTGCTGCTCTCAAACCAGTGAATCTCAGGACTTGATATATAAATATCCCAGCTTCTTTTGCTTCTGTAATATGTAGGGACTACTTGGGGATCCATATTTGAAAATGAAATGTGTGTTGTTGGGCTCAGGACACATCACCCCATAGTGTGACTGTAGGAGACCCAAATATGCCACCCCAAAATATTCCTCTTTGGCATATTTCAAACTGGTTATTTTGAGAAATTGCAGACATAGGCATAGCTTGTAAAGGAAATTTACATCTATAAAGGAAATCTATGTTAGCAATATTATCTATATTAGGAAGAAGGCTGCTTCTGGACAAGTTTTATTACCCAAGAGAGAATCCTTACCTGAATAACAAGGCCATCTTTATTCACCACATTGATTTTCTCCCTTTACCCTTCCGTAACTTGTCTTCACCACACCCCAGAAGCCCCAGACCCTATTCCTTTCAGTAGCTTAGGATGTTATATAAGCTTCAATCATCTGGCCCTCCTTTGAGACATATTTTTGTGGGATTCCTACAGGTATACACCTAAATATGCTTTTTCTCCTGTTAATTTTATTTTGTATCGACTTAATTTTTAGCCCAGTTAAAGAACATAGGAGGGTGGAGGGAAGCTATTTTTCCCTCCCCTACAGAAGGGAAAAGGTGTTTCCCATTTCTAGGACTAAGAAAAACTCCCCTGATATGAGGGAAAGGAGAATAAGAATAATGGTGTACTGGTGGATGCGGGTGGGAAGATGAAAGAAAGAGTTGAGGGAGTCAGCCCTGAGCTGCGGGTGTGCAGAGCCATGCTGGGAGAAGAGGGGGCTGCAGGGGTGGCCTTGCCTGCCGCTCAGATCAGCACTTCATCAGTGTCCGGAGTCATCAAGTCAGAGACTTGAGCAAGTGTCTAAAGACAACCCACCCTCTGCAAGGATGAGTATTATGCACTTCCCGCTCCCGAGGGATAATCTAACTATTCTTCCTCTTATTATCTGGAGGTAATGTTCCTTGGAAAGAAATAATATCCATATTATTTAACACCATCTGCTATTCTTTGCCATATTCAAGAATCCTTGTCAGCTTTCAGCCAAAACAAAACAAACACACACAAACACACACACACACACACACACACACA